TAATTGGTTGTTTGTATTCTTATTATTTAGTTGAAAGAGTTCTTTGTGTGGTGTATGTAAATCCTCTTTCAGATATATGATTTGTAAGTATTTTCTCTCAATATGTGACTTACCTTTTCATTTTCATAATGGTGTCTTTTAACAGCCAAAAGTTTTTAATTTTTATCAAATCCATTTTATCAAGTTTTTGTTTTGTGAATTGTGCTTTTGATGTCAGATCCAAAAAAATCTTTGCCTAACTCAAGTTCACAAAGGTTTTCTCCTATTATTTTCTCTCGATCTCTTATAGTTCTAGTTCTTATATGTACATCTGGGACCCATTTGAAATGCGGTTTGTGGGAGGTATGAAGCAACTGTGTAAATTAATGCTTTTGCATGTGGACATCCAATTGTCCCAGAGCCGTTTGTTGCAAAGATTATCCTTTCTCCATTGAGTTGTCTTGGAACCTTTGTCAAGAGTCAATTGACCATAAATTTAACCATTTATTTCTAGATGTCTATTCTGTTCCCTTAGTCTATACATTTATCCTTTTCCATACCATATGATTGTGATTATTATATTTTCATGCAAGTTTTGAAATCAGGTAGTATAAGTTTTCCAATTCTTTTTTTTTTTCAAAATTGTTTGGGTTATTCTAATTCCTTTGCCTTTCCACAAACATTTTAGGATCCACTTGTTGTTTTTTTTTTAAGGCTGTGGGATTTTGATAGGAATAGCACTGAACTGGTAGGTGAATCTGGGAATGACTGCCATCTTTACAATATTGAGTCTTCCAATAATGAATGTGGAATGTCTCTCCATTTATTTAGATCTTCTTTAATTTCTCTCAGTAATGTTTTATAGTCTTATGTGTTCATGTCTTATTTGTTTTGATGTCATTATGAATGAAATTGCTTTCTCAATTTCATTTTTAGATTTCTTATTACTAGTTTATAGAAATACAATTGATTTTCATACATTTATTTTGTATCCTGAGTCCTTTGTTCTAGTAGGTTTTGAAAAAAATTCCTTAGGATTTTTCTGTATACAGGGCCATATCATACTGAAATAAAGACAGTTCTACTTTTTCCTTTCTAATCGGGGTGTCTTTAATTTTTCTTGACTTGTTGCACTAATGGCACATCCCACAGTACACTGTTGAGTGGAAGTGGGGAGAGTAGACACCCTTGCCCTGTTTCTAACCTTCATCTTTCACCCTTAGGTGTGAGGTTAGCTGCAGAGTTTTAACAGGGGCTGTGTTAGCTTTCTAGGGCTGCCACAACAAGGTTACGGCAGACAGGGTGGCTTTAACAACAGAATTTTATTTACTCACAGTTCTTGGAGGCCAGATATCCAAGATCGAGGTGTCAACAGGGTTGGTTTCTTCTGAGGGTCTTTATCCTAGGCTTACAGATGGCCATCCTCTCCCTGTGTCTGTCTGCACACGGACTTCTCTCTGTGTGTCTGTGTCCCACCTCTTCTTCTTTCTTATAAGGGCACCAGTCATGCTGGGTTAGAGCCCAACCCAATGGCCTATTTTAACCTTATTTACTTCTTTTTTTTAATTTATTTATTTTATTTTTTAGAGAGAGGGGAGGAAGTGAGGGAGAAAGAGAGGGAGAGAAACATTGACATGCGAGAGAAACATGGATCAGATGCCTCTCACACGCCCCTACTAGGGACCTGGCCCACAACACAGGCCTGTGCCCTGATCAGAAATCAAACCGGTGACATTTTAGTTCACAGGCCAGCACTCAGTCCACTGAGCCACACAAGCCCAGGACTTATTTACCTCTTTAAAGACTCTGTCTCCAAATGTAGTCACATTCGGAGACCCTGGCACCAGTGCTTCAACAAAGGAATTGGGCGGGCGAGGCATTGCAATCGAGCCCGTAATAGGGGCCCTCTGTGGGGGGAGGATTTTCTTTTCTATTCCGAGCGTGCTGAGAATTTTCATAAAGAAAAGGCTTGGGATTTTATCAAATGCTTTTTCTGTGTCTTTGAGATGATCATTTGTCCTTCGTTTTATGAATATAGTACATTACATTAATTCATTTTTAAATGTTAAAACCAACCTTGCATTCCAGGGATAAATCCTGCCTGGTCATGCTGTTTAATCCTCATTGTATGTTGCCAGACTAAGTTTTACAGAATTACACTGAAGGTTTTTGTGTCTATATTCATGAGCGATGTTGATCTACATTTTTCTTTTCTTGTGATGTCTTTGTTCAGTTGGGGTCAGGACGGTGCTGACCTTGTAGAACAGGTTGGGAAATGCTCCTTCTCCTCCTCTTCTGCTTTCCAAAAAAGTTTATGTATGATTGTCATTATTCCTTCCTTAAATATTTGATAGAATTCACCAGAGAAGCCGTTTGCACCTCAGCTTTTCTTTGTGGATTTTTAATCACTCATTTATTTTATCATGATATGTCTATTCAGATTTTCTATTTCTTCCTGAGTCAATTTTGGTAATTTATCTTTCTAGAAATTGGTCATTGTGCTTACGTTGTTTGTTTTCTTGATATAAAGTTGTTCTTAATATTTTCTTACAACATTTTGGATGTCTGTATTATCAGTTGTGATGATGTCCCTTCTTTCTTCCTGATTTGGTAATTTCGTCTTTTCTTTCTTTTTTAGATGTTTATTTAAAAAATTTTAAAAATTGTACAATCATAGTTACAGCAACTTTATTGATAATAAAAGCTGAAGGCCTGGCTGGTGTGGCTCTGTGGACTGAGTGCCAGCCTGTGAACTGAAAGGTTGCCGGTTCGATTCCCAGTCAGGGCACATGCCTGGTTTGGGGCCAGGTCCCCAGTTGGGGGCATGTGAGAGGCAAGTGATCAATGTATCTTCTACACATTGATGTTTCTCTCCCTTTCTTTCTCCCTCCCTTCCCCTTTCTCTAAAGTTAAATAAATATTTTTTAAAATTTAAAACAGTTCAAATGTCCATCAATAGGAGAATGAAAATATGAAATACTACCAGCAGTGAAAGATGAACAAGAAAAACAAACACGACCTGCTGATACAGGCAACGACATGCACGAATCTCACCGACATCACGTGCAGCAAAGGCATGCAGGCCTGACAGCGTGCGTATTCTGTGGGTCTGTTTATATGAAGTTCAGAACAAACAAAACAAATCTGTGCTGACAGAAAGGAGAAGAGAGGTTGCTTATTGGGGAAATTTGCCTTGCAAGAAAGGGGATACCCACTCTCAAAACCCACCCCAACCACATAGCAGGCTCCTGTGAAAAGTCTAGACCCATGAGGAAACACCACGAAAACCGAGATGCACTGTCCCAGGTGCCTGGTTAGGGAGCCCAGCAGAGGCTGTCATCCCTGCTTTACACCACTGGACACTGAGGCCTGGGGCGGAAGGGACAATTTCAGTGTCATACAGACCCTGGGTCAGAACCTAGGCCCTCAGATGTCTGGCCTGGGGTTTTATCCACTCAGCTGCTCCTCAAGCTGAGCTCACCCTGGCCTTCCTGCAGTGTGAGCCAGGGCTCCTCAAAAGTTGCTCCACTCCAGGCCCAAAAATACATTTTCCTACTGCCTGTCTCAAGTGTCTGCATCGTGCTACGGAAGAACTAGCCACATTCACCACCAAAGCCCAGAGGCAGGAGCTGGGTCCTTTGTTACCACAGAGCAGGGCTGTGGAAACGGGACTCAAGGGGCTGAGACGGGCACTGCAGCAGCCAGCACCAGTGTCAGGGAGCGCGGGGACAGGGCCCCTGCACCAGCTGCCACGCGCCATGTGTTTGTCGGACCACCCTAGGCAAGTCCCTTAGACACGCTGAGCTTCCTCGTCTACAAAATGGGCACCACAACTGCACAGACTTGTCATGGCAACTAACATGAACTCACACACCTGACATGATGTGCAAGCTCTGGAGAAAAAGGTTGCTATCATTAAGCATTGCTGGGATCCAGACAGGGTAAATTGGAGGTTGTCTGGCCATGCATTTGAGGGATTAGAAACCCCCGAGGTCCTGGCTATTGTGCGCGGCTGGCAACCCAGGCTGTCTCAGGTGTCCTTGTGCCTGGCTCTGTTCCACTCCCCAGTACCCACGGTGACATCTGTGTTCCATCAGTGTTTTCTCGGAAAGCCAAGCCCCCTTGCATCTCAGCAAAGCTTCCAGGAAGTTGACACCCACCTCCAAGAGGGTGCCAGCCTAGGGGTCAGGGGACACACAAACCCAGGGAGAAGCAGCTTGCCTGGCTGTCCTTTGGCACGGCCGAGCAACCTCTGACCTGCCCTGTGGGGAGGGCAGACGCTCGCCTGTGGCCTGCAGGACAGCCTCGTATTCTCTAAGAGATGTGAGCCCCGGTGCAGATCTGCTTCCATGGACTCTGGTGGGAATGCGTAGGCCATGGCCAGGCCCAGAGCACCACGACAATTCTCGGCCCCCAACTCCACTGCCTGTTTGTCTGGAGGCCGACCTGTTCTCAGCAGGACTGGAGTCAGCCAAGGGTGTCACGTGCTCTCCTCCCACTGGCCTAGCCCTCTCCTGGCCTGCAGTCCCGTGGGAGGGGGTGGAGGAGAATGGGGTGGGGCCCAGCCCCCCACACGCCCTCCAGACTGTCCTACACCCTTTTCCCCCCACAGGGGCAGCCCCTGCCCACTTCCCTACAGCCTCGGCCCCAGTGCCCACACCCACCGGTGGCACCTGTCTGGTGTGCAGTTACCTCCTGCCCATGTTTAATTCATGGCTGGGGGTTGGGACCAGCTTCCCAAGAAAGGGAAGAATTCCCCTGGGGTATTGCCCAGTTCCTGCCTGTCCACAGGGCACACTGCTGTGGCCCCCGCCTCCTGCCTGGGTTTGGGGCTGGGAGTCAAAGCCACTGATGGGCCTGAAGGACACTGTCCCAGCCAGGGCATGGCCACCATTTGTTAATCCACAGCCCTGGAATGTTTGTGGGCCAATCAGCAAGGTCTCCAAGGACTCCCCGAGGGCTCTAATAATCCTGCAATGATTAGCAGGGGCCACGGGGTCAGTGCACACCACTTGGTTTGCAGGGCGGCTGTCGGGGGGGGGCGGCCGGGATTGCAGCTATCAGTCTTTTTTCATGCCAGCCCGGATGGGAGGCTGTTTGGACGCACTGCTTACTCACCAGCCTCCTCCTTTTGTCTGCCAGCCCAGCCTGACTCCTTGAGATTGTGAATAGCTCCATCCAGGCTGTGAAGCTAGCTGGACGCTGGACGGCTGAGCCCGGCTCCTTCCAGATCGCCCTACAGGCCCCATGCTACAGCTGGAGCCCTCCTCTGGGCTGGGGGGCCGCTGGCCTGGCCTCCTGCCTATGCTCCTGGCTCTCCTTGGCGTGGCTTGGGCAGAGGTGCAGCTGCTCCAGCTGTGGGAGGAGCAGGCTCCAATGTCTGGAGGTAAGGGGTCCTGGGTCAGAAGAGGTGGAGGAGCTATGACCTCTGCAGAGGGGAGCGAGGGGGCTTCTGGAAGCTAGCTCCAGGCCTGAGCCCTGGGCATGCTGGTGTGGTTTAAAGAGTGACCCTTGGACAGTCTCGGGACCCAGCCTGATTGGGGGGGCTGAGCTGGGGAGGAGGACAGGGTGGGTTGGGCTGGAAGGGGAGTGAGTGGGCCCAGGCTGGGAGGTCAAGAAGGAATACAGCCTGGGGTTTGCAGCTGGGACCCTTGGAGGGCAGACTGGACAAGAGGAGCCCCTGGACTTCTGCAAGCCCAGGGCTGGCCCCCTCCTCACACCCAACCCCCAGCCCCTGTTCCTGGCTCTCTCACCCACCCCAGCTCTCGCCCAAGCTCCTTTACACCTGTCCCTGTCTCAACCCGACCTCTCCACCTCTTAGTCTCCTCCACCTCTCTGCTCCAGACCCTCCCACACACACACACCATCCTCCTGTCCCGCCTCAGGTCTTGTTTCTTAAGGGCAGAATTGCATTCTCATCTTCACATGGTGATCCCCACTCCACCGCCCAGGAGACGGGCCCAAGTCCCACCGCTCAGGTGGGCCTGACCTTGTCTCCCACCCCAGCCCTGAGCAGGAAGGAGAGTTTCCTGCTCCTCTCCCTGCACAACCGCCTGCGCAGCCGGGTGCAGCCCCCTGCGGCCAACATGCGGAGAATGGTGAGTGCCCCAGCCCGGGCTCCCAGAGGGGGCGGCTGGAGGGGCAGCCCTGAAGAGGGCTCAGGAGGCTACATGGGCTCCAGGTCACCTAGCCCATAGAGGGGACCCAGCCTGGTGGCTGGGGGCTCCAAAGTCTCCTGCTTCCCAGAAGGCAGTCCTTTGGCCTCTCCTCACATCCCATCCCGGTTGTCCTGGAGACCAGAGGCACGGAAGGAGGAGCTTCACAAAGGAGTCCCAGCAGGATGGAGGGGCTGGGGGCCAGGAGGGGGCCTGTGTGGGACCAGGACCCATTGCTTCTCCATGGGTTTTTCTGGGCACCTGGGTGGGGCCCCTCCAAATTCCCTGCTCATGCGCTGGGGCTGGAGCAGGTGGGTTTCCCAACACCCCTGATTGAGGCTTTGCAGCTGGAGGTGCCATCCTCAAGCCCAGAAACTCTGCCCCTGTAGTGTGGGACCCCAGCGGCCCCAGACCATGTGAACAGACAAGGAGTGAAGAAGGGACAGGCTGGGGCGGCAGGGTTCCCCATGGCTGCCTCCCACAAACTTCTCTGAGGCTGGCTGAGTGCTGGTGACCTTGGGAGCTCCCAGGGCAGTTTCCCACGAGTGGGGGCAGGACAGGCTGACAGCAGGGGGTCACTTCTCCCCCTCTCCCTGCTCTGCAGCAGCCCTGCCCCTCCATCAGGCCCAGGTCCTGGCTCCCACTCTCCCTCCCGACACTCCCAGCCCCAACCTCTGGTGCAGGGGTGCTCCCAATCAGCTGGTCAGCAAAAGCCTTAGAAAACAGCGTTCTATAAAAGGTGCAAATTAAGTCCCTGTAAATGAAGTCTCCGCTGGCCTCCCTCACACCTGTGACTTTGCCCCTGGGCACCCCTGGAAGCTCCTCGGGCTTTTGTCCAGAGGGGCTGAGGCCCTGGGGGTGGTTCAGGCTGCCGAGGGGGCCCCAGCCCCAGGCTTCATCAGCTGTGGAGTCACTGTGGCCCCTGCCCAGGGCCTGCTCTGGGTCAGACCCCAGGCACAGCAGTCGCCTCCCTGTATCCGTTTAATCCTCATGGCAATCTTAGCTTATTAGCACCTCAGTGTCCCCATTTTACAGATGAGGACATTGAGTCTCATGGATATTAGGCGACTGCTGGAGGCCACACAGCTGTAATGAGGTGGCCAGGCAGGCCCAGGGCATGGAGGTGGGGTGATGCATGTTATCCTGACTGCAGAGGGCTTTGTTTCCGAAGGGGGTGCTGCTGGGTGGGGCGGGGGGAAGGCCAGCTCGTGCCTGGGGAGGGAGAACAGATTAGACCTGCCCCGGAGGAGCTCTGCTGTCCGCCATGGCACTGGGGCCCAGGGCCTCTAACACCCTCGCTGGTCCTCTTTCCTGCTGGCACCCTAACACCCCACAGCCCGGGGGTGGGGGATGGGATACAGAGGCAGGGCTGCTGCAGCTTTTGGCATCAAAGGGAAGCGGAGGGGAAGGCACTGAGCCTTTCTGACAATGGCCAGGGCCAGGCATAGCGGACAGCACACACAGAGCCCATGTGGGAGGCTTGGGCGCTGCCCAGGGCTCACACTGCCAGGTGGGAGAAATTACTGCAAAAACCCATCCCATCGCCAGGACTGGCACTGCGCCCCCAGGAGCCCCTGTCCCCCTCGGGGTGGTGGTGCCACGGTCAGGGCCACAGGGTGCCCCCACAGGAGTCAGGAGGATGGAGGCTCGAAGCCAGGGTGGAGCAGGCCCTAGGCTGGGGGTCCACACAGAGCCCCGGGTTTTTCCAGGAGGCCTTGGAGAGCTCCGTGCAGGTCCTGTCTGGCCTCCCCTGGCCCCGGGAGAGTGGGCAAAACCCCGCCCAGAGCAGCTGAGCAGGACACCTGGCCCAGGGCTCTCTTTGCAGGACTAGCCGCCCTGGGAACATGCGGGAGATGGCAGGAGGGGGCCCCGCTGATGCCTCTGTTTATACCTCCCCCAGGACTGGAGTGAGAGCCTGGCCCGACAGGCTCAAGCCAGGGCCGCCCTCTGTGGTGGCCCAGCCCCAACCCTGGGGCCCACCCGCCTGGCCACTTCACACTTGGGCTGGAATGTGCAGCTGCTGCCTGTGGGCTCCGCATCCTTCGTCCAGGTGGTGGGCCTATGGTTCGAAGAGGGCCAGTGGTACAGCCACGCAGCGGCCGAGTGTGCCCACAATGCCACCTGTACCCACTACACCCAGGTGAGGCCAGGGTACCAGCTCTGAGGCCCCAGAGCTTTGGGGGTCGGCTCAGAGTGGCTAGTTTGTCTTAAAACTAGTGGCTGCTTTTCCTCCGATTTGCATGGTTTTGCTTTTTTTCCAGCTTTAAATATGACATATTTCAAACATAAATCAGATTACGGGCTCCCTCTTACCCACTACTTAGAACTAGAAAACATTACCCGTGTTTGTTTCTCATCTCCGTAAAACAGCGACGACATCTAAACCGAACTACAGCCCTGCCCCGGCCCTTCCCTGTGTCCCTCCGCAGAGGCGACTCCCCTGACGCCCCGGTCAGCTGTTCCCAAGCACGCTTCCTCTGTTTTTCTTCCTCTATCTCTGGCATTGTTTAGGTGCTAAGGAAAACAACGAAAAACACAGGCAAAATCTCCAGCATGTTTTCATATCTTTACTGCATGTGACAGTGTTTTTCTACCCTTTCTACTTGTGCAGGTGGGTCGTTTGTTATTGACTCTCACATAGTGCTCTCTCTGTCTCCTTTTGCATTATTTGTGTTTATCACTCCAGACCAGCTTATAAGAGTTACTTGCACGATCCAGATACCAAATGGGTGATGCACTGTGAATACACTGAAATTTACAGGCATTTAGGTTATTTTTACTTGCTATTACAAGTCATGCAGGAATGCGCACATCTTAGTTCTGATCCCCTTGTGCGCACGCACCCGGCGTCTCGCTAGGACTGACATGAAAGCGGAGGGGCTGGGTAGTGCGGATCTCGCGCTTACAAGCAGGCTAGGCTCTGCCCAGTTGATCGCCCACCTGCACTCCCGCCGCAAACCAGGGCCCCTCCCCCATTGCTTTTAAACTAAGTTCATACACCATACAATTTTTAAAGATTTTATTTATTCATTTATAGAGAGGGGGAAGGGAGAGAGACGGAGAGGGAGAGAAACATCAATGTGTAGCTTCCTCTCACGCACCCCCACCGGGGACCTGGCCTGCAGTTCAGGCATGTGCCCAGACTGGCCAGCACTCAATCCACTGAGCCACACTAGCCAGGGCAATTTTATCTATAAATAAGTATATATATATATATATGACTCTTTGCCCTGGCGGGGTAGCTCGGTTGGTTAGAGCATCGTCCGGATACACCGAGGTTGCAGGTCCATCCCTGGTCAGGGCACACACAAGACCAACCGGTGAATGCATAACTCAGTGAATCAAGTCCACGTTTCTCTCTCCCTTCCTCCCTTCCTCTTTCCTCCAGCCCAGCATCTGTTCTGATCGCCTACTGTTTGTTAAATACTTGGAGTATCTGCCCACTTTGCACGTCGTTTGATGTGGGATAATGTGATGGGTGTATGTGTGTGCTGTTTTGGTTTTGTGCATTGCTGGATTTGGTTTGCTAAATATTATTTGATAGTAAAATTGTCTTCTGATTTTCTTTCCTTGTACTGCCTTTACCTGGGTGATGGCAGTGTCATCCTGACCTCATAAAATGGGTCAGAAGCTTTGCCTCGTTTTCTATTGCTATCACTCTCCTTTAGAACCATTTGTGTCTTGTTCTATTTTCTGTTTGTTTTGTGTAAGTGTATGTATGCATGGATTTTTAATTACTGACCCAACTTTGAGAAATGGTCATAGATTATTTTCTTCTTTTTCTTCCAGAGAGAGTTTTGCCAAGTTCTATTTCCTAGGAAGTTGTCCATTTTATGTTTTCCAATTTATTGGTTATAACTGTTCCTTTTTTAAAATTTTGTTGCAAATTTTATTTTATGAGCTAGTTATAAACAATAGCCATTTCTTATCTTGATGTTTAGAACTCTTAGTATTTCAGATTCTAAAAAAAATGAATTGGTAATGGAAAAAAATGAGTTGGTTGCTAGCTTCTCACTAACATTCAGCTGCAAATGTAATATAAGCTTCTTAAATCCACACAGTGAAACGGCGGCCGGATGGCGGCTGCAAGAGAACAAAATCGAGCTTCGTAATTGTTCCTTGCTTACTGGAGATTTAAAAAGTATTTACTGTGTCTGTAGTGAATGTCCTTTTAAAATTCCAAGTTTAGTTTTGCCTTCTCTCTTTTATTCTTGACCAATCTTCCCAGAGGTTTCTATATTTTAACAATTCAGTTGTTTCTTTTCATTCAAAAATTTTTATTAATTTCTGCTCTCATTTTTACTATTTTCTTTCTTTGATTTTATTCAATTTACTGTTATTCTTTTTTATAATCTTCATTTGGGTTCTCAGCTCATCAGTTTTGTCTTTTTCACTTCTGCTTTGTGCGTTTAAGGCTGTAGATTTCCCCCTAAACTTCGCCGCTTGTGCCCCACGAGCTCTGGCTCTCAGCGTTCCCATCGTCACTCAGGGTCCGTGTGTCCTGTTTTTCGTCAGGATGTTGTCTTCGGTTTTGAAATGCGTGTCTAAACTTCCAAACTGTGCTTTCTTCTTTACTCCTAAATTCCTTACTGTAGATTTCATTGCACAGAATTGGAACATGGCCTGCAGGACATTGGTTCTTTGGTATTGGATGAATCTTGCTCTGAGGTTTAGTGAGGGGTCAGCGTTGGCAAGGATGTCATGAATTCCTGCAAAGAATGTATATTCTTTCATTGTTGGGCACATACGTATGACCACATATTCGCCTCATACTTATCATTTTTAGTGGCTACCGCAGTGTGCTGAGCTCTGCCTGTGCTTTGACCACTTGTTCTCATTTCCAAGTTCTCACTGATTCTAAGATTTTAGATCTAAGTTTTGAAAACCGTTAAAGACCTATATCCATTAGCTTGTGTTGCACAACCCACGCTACCCCCAAATTTAGCATCTCACCATTCTGTGGGGGCAGTTTGGGTTGGGAGCAGCTGGGGAAGTTCTGGTCTTGGCTGGGCCCACTCACGCAGCTGCGGTCCACTGCCGGGTTGGCCAGACGCTGGGCTGTCTAGCGCAGCCCCAACTGGCTCATCTCTGCTCTAAGAGGGCTCTCACCCTCCAGGGGCCTTGCTCACATGGTCGCTTGAGCGGTTTTATGAGGGTAGAAATTGCAGGGTCTCCTGAGGCCTCGGTTCAAAACCGGCCCAATATCACCTCTGCTGCAAGCCACAGGGCCAGTGTTGGGGAAAGAGTCCTTCTGTTGATGCAAAGGCTTCAAAGCCACATTTAAAGGGGTGGTGAAGCAAGAAGTGTGTCCATTTTTGCAACCTGTCACAAGGCCTTTTGTGTCGAAGTCCTTCTTTTTCGACTCTCCTCCATCCATCCACAATTTCCCCTCCCTTCAGGTATCTGCTAACCCTCACCCCGCTGCTCCCACCCCCACCCCCACCCAGAAAGCCTCCTAGACTATTTCCACTTATCCTATAGCCCCAACCATCACAGCGGTTACTCCTGAGGCCCCAGGGGAGGGGAGGGAGCTGTCTGTCTGCCTGGCTCGGGGCCAAAGCTGTATCCTCCCTCCCCAGGTGAGCATCACCTGTGCTGCTGGCCCCAGACTGCCAGTGGGGGTGGCCCGATAGGATTTCTGAGTCCTGTGTCTCCCGCAGCTTGTGTGGGCCACCTCGAGCCAGCTGGGCTGCGGGCGACACCCTTGCTCTGGGCACCAGGCTGAGATGGAAGCCTTTGTCTGCGCCTACTCCCCCGGGTAAGCCTCACCACGCTGCACTGTCGGGGCTGGTTTGGACAGGACACTTTCACCCTAGGGGAGATGCCCACCCACTCACCCAAAAGGCCTTGACCTCTTGAGCCACACCCTGTGAAAGAGGGCAGAAGGGGGTCAGGGATCAGGTGCACAGGTGGCAGCACCCACGATTGCAGCTGTGCAGAATGTGGTCTCAGAGGCCTCTTTCTGGAAGCACTACCAGCTTCAGGGAGTGACCTGACCCGGTATTAGTTTGGAGGTCCTCTTTTCTTTCTTAGGAAACCCCTCAGTCTCACCCAGCTCCCTGGCTCCCGGGCAGGGCCAGAAGGAGCTGAAGGGATGGCTGGGGCAGGCAGCAAGGCCCACCCCTGCCTGGCCCAAGGCCAGGCCCTTCCAGCCCTCTGGTGCTTGTTCTCACAGAGGCAACTGGGAGGTCAACGGGAAGACGATCGTCCCCTACAAGAAGGGCGCCTGGTGTTCGCTCTGCACGGCCAGCATCTCAGGCTGCTTCAAAGCCTGGGACCATGCAGGGGGGCTCTGTGGTAAGTGCCCACCTTGCCTGCCTCCTGGGTGGTGGGTGTATGAGAGTTTGATCTGGTGACGAGAGGAGGGCGGCTACATCCTGAGGGGCGGTCCCAGGAGCCCTGGGCCTCCGCACCCAGGGAGGACCTGCCTGGAGGCCTCCTTCCAGATTTCCCTCCTTATCTGGCCAGAAGTCCCCAGGAACCCGTGCCGCATGAGCTGCCGGAACCACGGGCATCTCAACATCAGCACCTGCCACTGCCACTGTCCCCCTGGCTACACGGGCAGGTACTGCCAAGGTGAGGCACTCCTGGGGTTCCAGATCACAACAGCGTGAGGGACCCAGGGAGGGGAGTCCAGGCCCCCCACACATGCAGGCAGCCCCCAGGGGGTGCAGAGGGCCTGAGTGCAATGGGCACACTCTTGTGCACAAACACACACACACACACACACTTCTGTGGTGTGTCCAGCGGCTGCACTGCACTCACTGAGTGAGTTTCCAGGGAGCATCGAGTGTGCGAGGGGCTCTGACCGTGAACGTGCCGGTCTGCACCGTGAAGTCATTCAGCACGCTCGCACTGAGCACTGCCTGCAGGCCGGACCCTGAGCTGTGCAGCGGACTCAGAGTGGAATCCCACCAGCCCCATAGGCTCTGGGTGGTGGGAGAAGACAGAATTAGGATTCAGAAGTGGATTCTTCTCCCACTGTCTCCCCTCCCCAGCTGTGACCCCAGGCAGGTCACCTCCCAAACCCCAGTGTGCTTCTCTCTACAATGAGGAGAAACCGAAGGTGCCACGTGTGGCAGCGTTCCGTCCCTCAGAGGCCTGGGAGGGGCAGCCTGGGGCCCCGGGGCTGTGCCCAGCTCGGTCTCTCCCTGGCCCTCCCTGCAGTGCGGTGCAGCGTGCAGTGCGTGCACGGCCGGTTCCGGGAAGAGGAGTGCTCCTGCGTCTGCGACGTGGGCTACGGGGGAGCCCAGTGCGCCAGTGAGTCCTGACCCGAGGGCCCCAAGAGCTGGCCCCTCCCAGGACCCCTCGCTGGTGTGCTGGATCCAGCTCAGACCTGTTCAGACCTGCTCAAGGTTGCCCGTTGTGCACATCTCTTCCCAAGTCCGTGTTCAGTGGCATTGGTAGCTTGAAGCCAGCCAGGGTGTGGGCATTTACACCACAGAAATTGGCAAGTGCTACCAATCAGAAATTTCACTTTGAGGCAGAGAGCTGGTTGTCACACCTTTACCCGCACACCACCGACCCGGCCCACGCTCCGGCGGGTGGCACCGTGAGCTCAGCTCCCTGGCAGGGTGGGCGGGTTCACCGCGCTGACAGGAGATCCCCCCACACACTCAGGCTCCCCCCTCCCCAGCCAGGGTACACTTTCCCTTCCACTCCTGTGACCTGAGGATCGACGGGGACTGCTTCATGGTGTCTTCGGAGGCAGACACCTATTACGGAGCCAAGATGAAATGCCAGGTGACAGCTGACCCCTGCCTTCCCAGGGGTCCCCCCACGGTCTCAAGCAAGAGTCTTAATGGAGGGACGCTGGACTAAGAGATGGTTCCTTCGACATCTTCTGACCCGATTCTCATCATTAGCATAAAGCAGGGTTCACTCAGAGGCCTGTAGAAACCATGAGGTCACTTAATGCGCTGAGGGACTAGGGACGAGGCCCACCCACCTCCATCTAAGGATCTGTGCTGACTCAGCGCCACCTGCTGGTGGTGAGCAGGTTTGGGGAGGCCAGAACTGACTGTTTTAGAAGAACCGGAAACCCAGATTTTCATTGGCATCTCTAGACTTATTAAAGCTGACAGGCAAATCAAACGTATTTAAGGCACTGAGCAGGTAAAACAAACCCTTCCAATGGCAGGACGCTGTCAGTCTGGACCCCTGGGGTGGGGAGGGGGAGGGGGCCCCACTCTATGAGGCAGGAGGCTGTGGTGGGGCAGTGAGGACCCAGCACCCCCGCTTGTTGTCTGTGGCCACAGGGGGGTGGCAGGAGGGCTGGCCTGAAACCTGGGGCCCCGCCAGCATGACCCAGAGCAGGTGTTGCAGGGAAAGGGCGGGGTCCTCGCCCAGATCGAGAGCCAGAAGGTGCAAGACATCCTCGCCTTCTACCTGGGCCGCCTGGAGACAACCAACGAGGTGACAGACAGCGACTTTGAGACCAGGAACTTCTGGATCGGTGAGTGTGGGGCTGGGGTGCCCTGCAGCGCTCCAGGAGTCTGGGCCGGGGAGACCCAGAGCACCCCCAGCTGACAGTGAGGGTGTGGAGAGGGCTGGGAGTCCAGCGTGGGGGTCAGGCTGCAACCCCCTCCCTGGGGAGAGAGCCCAAGCGAGAGAAAACCACAAGGGGGACCAGAGGGCAGGGAAGGGGGCTTGGGGGCTGGGGCCAGACAGGCCTTGGGCAGCAGGCTCGAGGCTCGGGGTCCTCCTTTCCTGGGTCGTGGGGCCAACCTCGACTGCCCTGGCCCAGGGCTCACCTACAAGACCTCCAAGGACTCCTTCCGCTGGTCTACCGGGGAGCACCAGTCCTTCACCAGTTTTGCCTTTGGGCAGCCTGACAACCAAGGGTGAGTCTGGGGTGCCCCCTCCCCTGGGCCCACCTTGTTCCCTGAATCTACTCGCTAAGCCCCCAGTTGCCACTGAAGAACCTCCACCCAGCCTGCTGCCTGGCCGAGCCCTCCTGGGTCTGAGCCTCACCTGGTACCCAGTGAGGGGCCAGCTGGGTGCTGAGGTATGGCACACCCCAGGGCCTCCAAGTGTTCACGTAAAAAAGTGAACCCAAGAAGGCTTTATCCATTGTCCCTCCATCTATTACCCATCCCCCCCGTACCCCTGGGTCTGTATCAGCGCATCGACTTCTGAATTCTGTAGCTATCCCACCCCCTGCTCCTATTCACACAACATCCGCCCACCTGCCAGCCTGTACTGAGGGCCTTCTTGTTACACAGCCCTGCCCTGGTCTTCACAGTCACAGGAATGCCCAGGGGTGGAGGCGGTCAGGCTGTGTGGCCCCCAAGGACTCCAAATATCTCACCCAACCCCTCCCTCGACCTCCTGGGCGGCAGCCAGGCCTCTGCCCCTGGCCCACCTCCTAGAGGCAGTGAGCCTGGTCTGGCGCCCAGGCATACCTCTCCCTGCTGGGAGGGAGGACCTGAGCCTGTCTGTTCTGGGTCCCCCTGCCCATTGTCTGGGGTGGCTGAGCGCTGGCAGTGGGTGGGCGGAGTTGCCACCCAGATAGGGGGTGTACCAAGATCTCCGGGCTTCCCCAGGGAGAGCTGTGGCAGTCTGGGGAGCAGGGGAGGGAGCTTGGGTTGGGTCTGGCTCCCAGAAGCCCCATAGCAGGGAAGGATGCAGGGCAGGACGGAGGCACTGAGGCCTCTTAGATGCAGGGGGCCTGCTGGGACGGAGGAGTTAAGCCTCTCCCCAACTCCTGACCTCATCACTCTGAGGGTCCGGCATCTCCGCCCGGCAGGTTTGGCAACTGCGTGGAGCTGCAGGCCTCCACTGCCTTCAACTGGAACGACCAGCGCTGTAGAACCCGAAACCGCTACATCTGCCAGTTTGGTGAGGGCCCTCCCACGGCCCCTGCCCCTGCGGCCCTGTCCCCCCTGGGGTGGCTGCCAGGCCCCACCCAGTCGGCCAGGACATCCAGCCCGCAGGCCTGGAGAGTGTCCGGGCCCACAGGGCCACTGAGAACGCCCTGCTCCAGGAGGGCAACTCTGAGGCCCCATGAGGAGAGGCGAGCACAGCCTCACCGAGCGCGGAATTCACCCAGTGGCCCGACGGAACGCGCAGCCTGACCCGGCTTTCTCCAAGGTCCCTTCCTCCTGTCTGCGAAATTGCTTCCTGGGGAGCCTGTTGGGCTCCTCAATGTCACCTGACTCTCTGGAGCCCAGTGAACTCTGGCGGGAGGCAGAGGGGAAGCCTGGCCTGGAGCCGGCTCCCAGTAGCACCTGCTGGGAGGGTCTGGAGCTACACAGGACCATGGCCAAGGGTACTTCTGGACCAAGTGCAGGTCCCCTTCCCAGGACTCCCTGGGCTGCCATCGAGCCTCGCTCTGTTCTCTTCCTTCCCAGCTCAGGAGCACATTTCCCGCTGGGGCCCAGGGCCCTGAAGCTCAGCCATGCCTCTCCCTTGCCTCTGCCTGGGTGCACCAGCCCTGTCTGCTTGTCTGCCTGTGTCTCTGGAACAAGGGCCAGGCCTGGACCTCAAGCCCAACATCTGAAGAGGTCCCAGACCTTGCAGGAAGCAGGGCGGGGCCAATAGGGAGGCTAGCATAGGGGAAGGGGAGCCTGGGGCCCCTCAGCCTGCTTCTGATCAGGGAGATGGGCCTCAGTTAGGTGGTGAAACAAGAGCCAAGGTCAGGGGCAGACGAGACCGAGACTGCTCTCCTCCATCTGGGCTGGACCCTCTGGGGCAGATGGAGGTTCCCAGTGGCCCAGGATGCAGCCCACAAAAGATTAAACTAAGTTATGGAACAAACTTGTGAATGCTCGTTTCGAAGGGGAATTCAGACTAGCCAGGATGACCCCAGAGGACCAGAGAGAGCCCGAAGCTCAGAGTGCCTCCTGCCTGCCCGAGCCTCCTCACGTGCTCACCGCGTGACCCAGGCCGCCCTCTGGAGGCTTCAGGCCCTTTGTCCCTGAATAACACGTAGATGCAGAAGCCTCATTTACATCCCTGATGTCTTGCCCCAGCTCCGCTCACCACTGCCTCTGTCGGCCTTGTGTTTCTGTTCACACGCTGTCCCTTTGAGCTTTCTGCCTGCTCCACGTGTTTCCTCTTTCTTTGTGATCATCTACACCGGGGTCTGTGGTGGCCCCGCCTCCCTCTGCTTCCTGCAGTGGCCAGAGGATCCAGGCAGGTGCTGTCACCTCTGTCCAGAATGTGCCGTGGCCCGCTTGCAAGCCGCTGTGTGCGCACGGGGAGTTGCTTTGCTGGTTGGAGGTAGAAGTGTGGCCTGGGGCCACGGATGGGGGGTGGGGGGGATGGGAAGAGTACCAATCACAGGTCTTAGCTGCAACCGATAGAAACAGCTCTGGCTAATCATAGCAGAAAAGGAACTGATCCTAAGGACAATGATTTTAAAAGGGATAAAGGCCCAGCTGGTGTGGCTCAGTGGATTAAGCACGGGCCTTTGAACCAAAGGGTTGCCAGTTGGATTCCCAGTCAGGGCACCTGCCTGGGTTGCGGGCCAGGTCCCAGGTAAGGGGCACACGAGAGGCAACCACACACTGATGTTGCTTTCCCTCTCTCCCTCCCTTCCTCTCTCTCTAGAAATAAATAAATAAAACCTTAAAGCTCATCAAATTTTACAGTTGAAATAAATGCATCTTATTGTATGCAAACTATTAAAAAAATGTGCAAAAGAGTTCAATAGATATTCTCCAAGATGACGCGCAAGTGGCCAGCAAGCGCATGAAAAGTGATCAACATCACCAGTCACTAGGAAATCCGAACCAAACCACAGTGGGACACCACTTCACAGCCATTAGGACAGCTGTTTCCAAAAAAACAGACAGTAATTGTTGATGAGGTTGGGGACCAACCAGAGCCCTTGTGTGCTGTTGGTGGGGGTGTAACATGGTGCCACCACTGCTAAAAACAGTTTGGTGATTCCACAAAAAGTTAAACACAACTATCACGTGACCCAGCAATTCCGCTCACAGGCATGTGCCCAAGAGAACTGGAAACAAGAATGCAAGCGAGTTCCTATACATGAAGTTCACAGAAGCAGCATCTGCAATAGCCAAAAGGTAGAAACAACCCAAGCCCCCACCAGCAGATGCATACACAGGAAAATCATGGTGCATACATATCATATCATCCAGCCACTAAAAAGAATGAAGTACTGATGCATACCACAAGGTGGAGGAACCTTGAAAATGTTATTTTAAGTGAAAAAGGCTAGTCACAAGAGGTCACATATTGTATGATTCCATTTATATGCAACATTCAGAACAGGAAAATCCGTTGAAATATAAACAGATTGGCGTTGGCAGGGGCAGCAGGAGAGTGGGAGTAGCTGCTCACCGGGGGCAGGTTTCATTCTGGAATGATAGACATGTTGTAGAGATCAGTGTGGGACTTGGAGAAGTCACGACTGTGGATGGACTGATTTCATGTTATGACAATTTCATCTCAGTTTAAAAACTGAAAAAGGACAATGGTCGGTTGCAGGATTCTGGGGAGACTCAGAGAGCCGGGCCGGGCACCTGTGTGGCCAGAAACAGCGGCCCGAATCCCGCCGTGAAGTCAGCCTGGGTGGACTCCTGCGCCCCACTGCAGGCACGGGGACTGGGCGTGCACTCCCGCAGCCACCACACAGGCGCCACCCTCGTGGCAGCCCCCCTCCACCGGCCGCCAGTGCTGGCAGCCCAGGGCCCTGCGGAGCCTCTGATGCCCCAGGCACCGGCTCCCCCTTCGGCTGCAGCATTCCTGTCTGCATTCCTGCCACTCCCGTTTGTCCCTCGTCGTGTATTTCTGGACGCCACGGCAAAGGGCTCGCCTGTGGAGGCCCCTCAGGGCTCGTGGGCGGAGGCGGCAGTGAGCAGGTCCTACCTGAACAGCCCATGGCAGCCTCGTCTGGAGTCAGCACAGTGCTGTGGTTCTCCTCGCACCGGTGGTGTAGCATCGACTTCACCTGGGAACATGTTGGAGAAGCAAGTTCTCAGCGACCCCCAAGTCAGTTTTGTCCTGGGGAGACTCTGAAGGGGAGGCGGGTGAGCTGGGTTTTAACAAGGCCTCCGGCTACTTCACAGGCAGGCTCTGGTTCTAGAACCGCAGGCAGAGAGAGGCAGAGAGCTTGGGTCTAAAGCCATACCACTTGACTCTGGGGCTAGGCTCTGCCACTTGCTAACTGTGTGACTTTGGGCAAGTTATTTAACACAGAGGGGGACCAGTTGTCCCAATTTGCCTGGAACTGTCCCAGTTTCAGCCAAGTCCCATGTGCTGGTGTTACAGGAGAAACTCAGTTCTTCTTGCTGACAGTGAAGGATTACAGACCAGCAAGTCTATTAGTGTGCAAGCAGGGTCCATCCGGGATAGTGTCTCATGGAAGACAATGGCCTTGCTGAGCTGGGGGGTGAAAGGCATAGGTTCAGGGCAGGGCAAGGTAAGGGCGGCAGGTCCTCTGTCCCAAGGACTTACATAGCTGGCCGGATGTGTGGTGAAGAAGTCACATATTGATCGACAGATAAAGGTGCTGCCAGCTTTCCCAGGGGGATGTGACTACCCAAACTTAAGTATGAGTGGGGGTCTGTCTGCCCGAAGCCTTATCTTGCTCCTGACCCCGTTTGTTCATCTTGTTGTAAAACACATGCGTGACAGGAGGCAGTTAATTCAAGTTGGGGCAGTTACCCAAAGTTATTTAAGGGCTCTTTCTGTAAGCATCAGGGGCTCCCTGTAAAACAGATAGTGACCAGAGGTAGGCAATTAACCAAAGTTGTTTTCTGAGCTACCTCTTTGGGCACCGTGGACCCCTCCCTCTCCCCCTTCCAGGCCTTGGGGTGAACACACAGTGTCAAGGCTCTCTTTCCCAGACAGTAGAAACTACGCATAGAATTTCAAGGGGCGCCCTCCTCCCGTGCTCACACGGAGTTTCTCGTCGTGTTGAAACACCTGGCAATATCATCGGACGAGGCCCTGGACTGCTGAGTCAGTGGGCGAGACACGTCCCCCTCCTCCTCCCTGCCTTGGTTTACCTTCTGTCCTACCTAACACTGGGGAACCCCTCCGTCCCCAGCAAACCAGGACCACTGGTCACCCTAAAACAGTGGCCCCCAAACTTTCTGGCACCAGGGGCCTGGTTTCCCAGAAGACAATTTTTCCACGGACCAGCAGGGTGGCGGGGGATGGTTTCGGGATGGTTCAAGTGCATCGCACTCAAGCTCACCTCCTGCTGTGCGGCCCGGGCCCTCACACGTCTCTCTGCCTCATTTTCTCCTGTAAAGTGAGGATAATCAAACGAGTCAGGACATTACAGTGTTCGGGACAGTGCCTCCTGACACTGGTAAACACTGACGACTGTTAGCTCAGCTGACTTCTTTATTCCCTCGTCAACATTATCCCATCGAAACCGCACTTGTTAACTAAATACACTTTAAATAAGTACGGTGCTTAAAACTGTGCCTGGCGGATAGCAAATGCTCAGTAAGTCTTAGCTATTCTCATTCTTATTATTATTAGCTCTTAGCTAATATTTTTTGGCCACAACTGAGTCCAAGTTTTAAGCAACCATGAGAGCAAACAATGAGAACCATCCCAGCTACTCAGATAAGCCCCAGAGAACCCTAAATACCAAAATCTTCAATCCCACGGACATTATTTTCTTTCTCCCCCAGTCTCCACCCTCAGAATCCACTCCTGGATCACTTTGCTATGTTTTTGCCAATATAAATTAGCAAAATCTCTCGGTTCTTTTGGCGACTCAGTCCTCATCCCAGACTTGAGGTCATTGGCCTTCTGGGGCCTGCAGGAGTCATTGCAGTCTGGAGAAAATAAAGGGAGGTTGGGGAGGGCGCACAAGGGGACTCCAAGGTCCTTACAAGATCCTTACTTCAGGAAATGCTTGTTGCTGGCCAAGGCTACACATGTGCCATGAGGGCGCGGGGGAGCCCAGGCTGAGGGAGGCCCTGCCTGCTGAGCACGTGGCTTCCCAGCTCACCCGGGGCCCTGGCATGCAGGTGGCCCGCTCCGGGAGCGGGAGGGTGGACGCACACTGGGAGGGTGCCAGGAGCCCGGGAGAGGTGCACGTCCCGCCCACCCAAGCCCCTGGCCGCCCCTTGGCTGAGAGGGGCACTGACTGCCATGGAGGTCGGGAAGCCCTGGCGGGATGTGTGCCCAGGAGGAAAGGGGTGCAGCTGTGACACAGAGCTAGTGAGTTTCTGCTGCCAGGACCTTCAGTGTGACCAAGGGAAGCTCGGTGGGAGAGGGGGTGGGCTAAGTCCTCCCCATCTTCCCACAGGGACCCAGCGAGGGTGTGAAGCCATCTGATGGTGTCACTCTGTAACCACTGATCAAGCTTGACGTTTGCTCTGCTCTCTTAGCCTTGCAGTCGCTAGTCACAAAGATCCCCTGGCTTTCTCACCACTCCTGAAGCTGACCTTGAGCTGATGGACTTTGGACTTGGACTTCAAGTTTGTCTTTTTTCCCTTGAAGCTGTGTGGTGCCACCGGCACAACACCCTGCCCAGCGGCCCTTGACTCCAAGGTTCTCTTTATACTCGTCCGTGGCAGGAGCCCTCAGGCCCCCAGAGCCTTGTCTCCGATGGGCACCTGGCTCTGGGCGACCGCAGAATTCACGGAGTCACCACTGCATGCCATGGGCTGCTGGCATCCTCTCCCTTAATACTCCCTGGGTTTTCACTGTCCTCTGACCACCTGCCAGTCTTGTATCACCCCGTTTCCCTCCGGGCCTCTTGCTACATCCACTCCTAGTTCTTTATTTTATTTTTTTTAATTTTTTTTAGATTTTATTTATTT